TACTCTGATTTTTATAAAGCATAAACAAAATCGGTCTTTTCTGGCCGTGAAAATGGGGATGTCACATTATCCTTCATACTCACCTCACACCAATCCAATCAATCTAATAAAATAAAAAAACTCAATCAATCCATCCAGGAAAACGAGTGTTACATGTTTACATGAAATTACCTCAAGGATATACTCCTATTGTTCCTGTTTCACAACAAAGCAATTTAGTTTGTCAATTGCAAAAATCCTTATATGGATTAAGACAAGCTTTAAGGCAATGTTTTTTCAAAATTTTCATCATTCTTGCTTTCTCAAGGTTTTACTCAATCTAAAGTTGATTACTCTTTGTTTATCAAAGGAAAAGGCAAGAATTGTGTTGCTTTATTAGTTTATGTGGATGACATAGTTTTAAAAGGTGCTTTGTTAGATCACATAAATGTAGTAAAATAAGTTCCGAGCAAAATAGTTTAAACTAAAAGATTTGGGGAAATTACAACATTTTCTTGGATTAGAAGTATCTCGATCATTAGAAGGAATTTTCATTTCTCAAAGACAATATACATTGGATTTATTGGAAGAAACTGGTTTTCTTGCATATAAAGCAACTCAATATCCCATGGAACCATCATGCAAAACATCCAATTTTGATGGTGCTTCCTTGACAGATCCAACTCGTTATAGAAGATTGATTGGTCGTTTAATGTATCTTAATATCACTCGACCTGATATTACTTATGCAATTAATCATTTGAGTCAATTTGTCAACAATCCTCGATTGCCACATTTGCAGGTTGCTAATCATCTTTTGCGATATCTGAAGTTTAATCCCGATCAAGGATTATTTTTATCTGCTAAACAATCCTTAAAAATTCAAGCTTTTTTCATTATTGATTGGGCTGGTTGAATGGATACTTGTAGATCTATGATTGGATTTTGCATTTTCATTGGTGATTCTATGATATATTGGAAATCGAAGAAACAGAGCATTGTTTCTCAATCATCTACCGAAGCAGGGCTATTGCCATTGCTACTACTGAGATCATACAACTTCATCATTTGCTATCAAACTTTGGAGTTTATCAAACTGAACCCACTTTTCTATTTTGTGATAATTAATCAGAAATCAAGTTAGCATCCAATCCTACATTTCACAAGAGGATGAAGCATATAGAGATTGATTGTCACTTCATACGAGATCGGATTTTGGATCATACCATCAAGGTAATGCCAATTCGAACGACCCATTAGTTAGCTGATGTTTTTACCAAGCCACTACCAAGACACAAGCTTTTACCAATCACATCTAAGATGACTTTGAAGAATATTTTTCAAAGCTCATCTTGAGGGGGGATAATAGCTAACTCTCTTAATGATCATTTGTATTTTTTGTTAGTTTCGTTAAGTAGTTATCATGGTTTAGTCTTTGTTCAGTTAGAACCATGGTTTGGTTAAGTGATTAGTTAGTTAGTTAAATTAATTAATCCTGTTAGATGCTAGTGAGCCTAGAGTTTGTATATATAACTTAGTCTTTTTCTTAATGAATTAACGAATCATTTTCAATCTCTCTCTCTCTCTCTCTCTCTGATAATAAACAGACTAATGTACTTTGGACTTCAACTAGTACATTGAGACAACTTCTAGCCGAACATCATCAATGATATTTGATATTTTCAAAAAGAAACACAAGATTAAAGAGTCTTTTGTAGGTTTTGTGAAAGAAGTCAAAATCTTTATGATTTTAGACGAATCAAAATCCTGAAGGTTGGATTCAGGCGTGCTCTTTGCAATTGTAGCTTCGATATATAATGGTTTATTGGTAAAAAATGGTGACGTTTGATTCCTTTTTATGGAGTATTTTAAACAAATAAAAACACATGGATAAAGGGCAAATCAAAAGGGTTAATGCTTTACATTATTTAAAAGTATTACGATTAGTTTACATACCGTCTCAAGGAACAAGCAAATTAATGAAAATCTATGGACAAACTGATATAGTTTCATTCACAGAGTTCGCTTCCATATTTGATAATTCTGATTGGGGTTTTCATTCACATATTTCACTTCCCTAGTTGTTGGTAATATGATAGTGGTTTATAGAAATCGTTGCAAGTAATTCGATGGAGTTTAGACCTTCCACATTGGTCCTTTCAAAAAAAAATTTGCAATGCCACCCACCAAAAAGTTTATGTCACTTGTACTTCATCTTTCAATTTGTAAAAGCCTTGCAAGTGTTATATATTAATATTTTAATCAATCATATGGTGCTTCTAAAGGAAACAGGGGCATATACCTTTTTAATCAACATAATAAATTTTCAACCATTCGATTATATATTAATTTTTAAATTAATAATTACATTCAATGTCCACATGACATTTGAAATGGCTTGCAAGCACCATCACCAATGTGGATGCTCTTAGGTGGTTGAGGATGGATGAGAGGGTCTTCATATCTAGGACGATGGAGGATGCAGTCATAATATTAGTGACGATGGGGTTGGCCGGTTAGGGATGAGGGGGAAGGAGAAAAATGGGATGATGAATAAGATGGACATGGTAGTCGAATATGAAGGCAATGACCGTTTTTAAAACATATAAGTTGAGAGGTATTGAAATATTTTAGGGTATATATTTGAACAAATCACAAATTTGGCAATATTTGGTCAAAGTACATATTCATATTAACAATTCAAAAGTTAGATTTAACTTCTAATGAATCAACAATGTAAGGTTTCTTAAGCTACAAAAAACCAACTAATAGCGTTTTTGATAGTTACAAACCCTATGGACCAACTTGAACTTATTCTCTAAAATATATTACAATAATTACAACCTTTATATATTCATATCATTATTACCAAAAGCAGCATAATTTTTTAACTTAACACATTTAACGTGTTGAAAACAACGTACGGCCAAAATTAAACTATTTTCATGCATTTAAATCAAAGTCGTCTTCTTTAATAAAACAGATAACCTCATAAAGCACAATTCAATAAAATATTTTATCATTTGGATCGACATCTATAAACCTATCATTCCCAATAGCAAAAAAATGAATCTAAGGAGTAAAGGTCATGCTTGCACTGAAAAGAGAAGCGCGCACGTTAGTCCATGATGGCGCACAAGAAGCTCAGTGTCACCTTCTCCTTTTTTCTCCAATTGTAAAATCCTTGTTATGATACTGTGTATATATATACAAACACAAACCAAATCGCATCTACTCGGTTACAGAAACATGGGACTGTGCCATCATCTCTCTTTCTCTTTCTCTCTCTATCTCTCTGGTTTAATTAATTGAATTAAACTAAGTTCAGCCAGGAAGAAGCATACAGTTGTTTAGGCCCCCTTCCTCTTTCTCTCTCTGTTTCCTTAACCAGACACAATATTCTATAGTTGGTGTAAAACCTCTCTTCTCTCTCTGTGTTTTCATATCTTCATCGCTAACGCTCAATTGGGTGTTCTTTTTTCCGACTTTCTTATGCGTATATATGATTCCCACAAATCGAGGCAGGCACTTTGCTCCTGAAGATTGGATTTTTCAGGGCTAAGTACAATTGCTTTCGGCTTTTTTCCCGCGTTTAGTTTCACTTTAGGTAATGAAGCTTTCGTAATTAATACTCCTAAAAAGAATGAATTTGATTTAGAAGAACAAGAAAAAGAAGACGAACGACCCATTCCATTAAAGGTCTGGTTCATCTGTTTTTATTTAGCCTCTTCATTTAATACTCTGTTTTTTCTTTTGACGAAGTTTGATTTTCTGTTTTCTGTGATGTTGCAGTGTACATTAATGTTAAGTTGTTGTAATTATCTATAAAGATGAATACCAGAGTAAAGACGAACTTGAGACCCATGAAAACTTCATTCAAAGATCCAAAGGTAATTCACTAATTCAGTCATTTGTTATTCCAAATGCGTGATTAGTCTTTTTCAATTTCACTCGATTATCTTCAATTCAATTTGTTTGAAGAAATTCGCAAATGGGTTTTCGGATTTGCATCAATTCCAATCTGGGTTTTTGATCATGATTCCCAAAAGTAATTATGGGTTTCTGTGAAGTGTTTTTCACATAATCGAAAAAGTTGGCCACTTTAAATCTTATCCACAATAAGTGTTCGATGAAATTCTTGTGTGTGACTTTCTTTATCGCATTATGATTCTTTTCTTGTTGAAACCGATTGTAATGTTCTTTACTAACTTTTTTTTTTTTTTATAAATATTAAAAAAAGGTTGATACGCAAATGCAAATGGAGGTCGAGAAAACAAGCACAAGCACAAACACAACCACTACCAGAAGAGGATCAGTGAGAGAAAGAAAAATGGCATTGCAACAAGATGTACCTTGCTGTCACCATTGACTTTTTATTTAAATTTTTTGAAAGTATTCGCTAAGTAGGGTATTCAATGTAATATCTCAATTATTGTATTATCATTAATATTATTAGTATTATTTTTTTAAATTTATTTCAGGTGGAGAAGCTAAGGAAGAGGCTTAGACATGAAGAGAATGTTCATAGAGCTTTAGAAAGAGCATTTACAAGACCTTTAGGAGCTCTTCCACGTTTGCCTCCATACCTCCCTCCTACAGTTAGTCTTAAATCGGAATATTAACTAATTTTCTTAATTAAAATCCCTTTTTTTTTAACAAAATTGTAATTTTGAATGCAGACATTAGAGCTTCTAGCAGAAGTTGCTGTTTTGGAGGAAGAAGTTGTGAGGCTTGAAGAACAAGTGGTTCATTTTAGGCAAGGTTTATATCAAGAAGCTGTCTATATTTCATCATCTAAAAGAAATCTTGAAAATTCACTTGATTTTCAAGAATCAAGTAAAAACAAGTCATCCAAGTTATCACCTCAAATTGAGACCAATTCATCAACAACCCTTGTCGAAAACCCACCTATCATTTCAGGTAAACTTTTTTTTATTTCCTAAAAGATAACTATTTGGTGAAAAAAAATCTTATTTTTCCTTTTTTTAATAATCTTGGTGGGAAAAGAGAACCAATCACCAAATGCCACGAAGAACAAGCACCGATCTCCAAATCCCAAATCTCATACACCAGCAAAAAAATCAGCAATTGATTCTAAGTTGACAGGGAAGCGTTTAGATCCTAAAAAATTACAGGTGAATTTAGTTTAAATTCCTCAATTTATGTTTAATGAAGGATAATTAGAAAAATGATATGACATTTAACAAATTCACAATTTTTTAAACCATTTTACGAAATTACTACCAACTTCCCAATTGGTCAATTACAAAATTAAAATTGATTTTTTACGAACAAAAGACTACAAAAAAAAAAAAAAAAAAAAAAAAAAAAAAAAAAAAAAACTTAATTATTTATTTCGGAATAATTTCAATTTTCTTTTAAACTTTTTTTTAGGCTTTTTGTGGTAGATATAGATATCATTCATAAATCATTTTGCCAGTTGGGCCCAATTTACATGTTGTGAAATTGGTCGTCATTTCGTGCTATTAGTATAAGAAATAGCAAATTATAAAATGTCACATCATATCATATGGTGGTTATTTTTATGATTATTCCCTGAAAAGAATGTATATGCATTTAATGATTTTATTTTGTTTAGTTTGAAGGTAGAGCAATGGAGGGTGTAAATGTAGAGGGAAAAACCAGTTTAGTTCAAGAAAAAGGATTATTATTAGGAGACGATGATCCAAATAAGATTTCTGAAAGTATTTTAAAATGTTTGATGAACATTTTCATACGAATGAGTTCAACAAGGAGTAAAAGTACAACAGAAATGCCACATTCATTGACATCAAATGAAATTATGAAAGAAACAACATTTAAAGATCCATATGACATCTCTTGTGAATTTGAAAAAAGAGACATTGGCCCATATAAATATTTATACGCTATCGAAGCAACCTCCATCAACAAAAACAGAACAACAAATTCTGTGTTTTTAATACAAAGATTAAAGTAAGTCGTATTAATTTTAAATTCTTTACTTTATAAACCAATTTCTAATCAATTTTTTTTTATTAATTCTCTAGGCTTCTACTTGGGAAACTTGAATCAGTAGATCTAATGAGTCTCACCCACCAAGAAAAACTTGCTTTCTGGATCAATATTTATAATTCGTGCATGATGAATGTAAGAATTTCCAAATTTTTTTTTATAGATTTGCTAAAATATTGAGAAAAACTAATCTCTAAATCATACATGTTATTAGGCATTTCTTGAGAATGGAATACCAGAAAGTCCTGAAATGGTTGTTCAGCTAATGCAAAAGGTATTGTAAAAAACATACTTTACATTTATGTATATAATTAACATTATATAAATTGTTTATTATGTGTATAAAATTATATAATTGTTCCCTACTCAGGCAACAATAAATGTTGGGGGACACTTTTTAAACGCAATCAGCATCGAACATTTCATATTGCGACTTCCTTATCATTCAAAATTTGTAAGTTAAATGCCTTTCATGGTCCAAATCTTTAATGAAAGTTTAGTTTTTCTCTTTTCTTATATAACTTTCTTGAAATTTATTAGACTTTCGTGAAGGGTGTAAAGAATGATGAGATAACTGCAAGAAGTGTCTTCGGTTTGGAATTATCAGAACCACTTGTAACCTTTGCTCTCTCTTGTGGAAGCTGGTCCTCCCCTTCTGTAAGTTGTTGTTGATAAGGCTCATTAATTAATCACATTCTTTGTACAAAAAAATGGAAAAAGGTTGCATCCTTTTATGCAATCTTTAGAAAAAATCACAACTAATTCATACCCATGATTTAAAAATGAAGGTAAGAATCTACACTGGCTCTCAAGTTGAAAATGAACTTGAAATTGCGAAAAAAGATTATTTACAAGCTGCAATTGGGATTTCAACAACAAATAAAATGGTGGAAATTCCAAAACTATTGGATTGGTATATGCTTGATTTTGCTAAAGATATGGAGTCTTTATTAGATTGGGTATGCCTTCAATTACCAAATGAGGTTGGAAAGGAAGCAATGAAGTGCCTTGAGAGAGGAAAAAGCGTGCCACTTTCACATTGTGTTAGAGTTATTCCCTATGAGTTTCAATTTAGGTACCTTTTGCACAAATAAATTTTTTTTCCTTTAAGATTGTTGAGTATAGATTTGTAAACAGGTTTATAGCATAAAATGGAAGTAGATATATATAATCCATTGTAAGTATTATTCAAATTTATTTAATATATTTGGATTGAACAAGTTTTTTGTTGAAGAAATTCATGAAGATGGCATATATTAAATGCATACAATGTGAATCAGTGTTATTCCCAGGTCCCATTTTCGCCTTGAATTCATTTCATTCTTCATAACAATCACCCATATCCATGTGTCATCTCTTTTAATATATATATATATATATATATATATATATATATATATATATATATATATATATATATATAATCAAATA